ATCATCACTGTCGCTTTTTTATCCGATATGATGTCGCCGCTAAACGGGTTGTTTTGTTTGCTTGCCTGCGTTGAATGGTCATTACGGATTATTGAAGGATTGTGATAAAATAGGAATGGGGCGAGGGAGGATATGCTCTGCGTCTGCAGGTGTTAATTTAGATCACAAAGGCATCATTTCCGGCATAGTGCAGAGTCGCTATCTTCCCCCTCCTCTGCACTACGGCATCTCTGCGCCCCACACGCGGCGCCCTCACTCCACGGCCGGCCGCCGCCAACTGACCCACTCGCCGGGCGCCGCGACCTGACCCGTGTCGCTGCCGCGGCCTGCGCAATTACCCCGTTTACATGAGTCAGCGAAAATGACGTTTAGAACGGATATTTCCGTTTAGCGAAAAGTGCGCAAGTTTCGACTCATGTAAACTGGTTTGGGCGCGCAAAAATGACGATTACGCGGAACGGAAATATCCGATGAATTAATGGGAAATATCCGTTTAGGACGTCCGGCCTAAACGGATTTTTTGCGCATCTAGCAGAAAATGACATGAATATGCATGTTTTATAGATGAATTTTTTTAGTTTACACATCAAAATACATATTTATGTTGAATGGTAGGTCTAATGACAATGAAATCCACTTTTTGCCCCTGATTTCGCGCCATTGTGGCAGATTCATGAACTATGAAGTAGGTACCTACATAAGTGCTGAGAGGAACGTCCTATGCTTCAAAAGGGAAGCATTCTAGTTGAGGGGTAATTTCCTTATTTCTTAGATTCAACAATCAGGGTTCAATTCCAGGGCCACCAACATAGCCTTCCCAGCCAGTCGCTCCCTATAGCCACTTGGAACAGCATGGTAGTGCCATTTAGTGCTTGGTACACTGGATATGATGCTTGATTTATTTTGCTTTAGTACATGCTCCCAAAAATTTTATCTACCTAGGTACTTCAAACTTCCTAGCAGTGATTCAGATAATTTATGCTTCAGCGAACAGCCACCAGACGGCAGGGCACGCAGGCTGGTTGAGACAGGAACTTGGCTGCATGCCAAAATATACACAAGACACACAGCCAAATTTACTCAGTGACACTGCCATCTGCCCCCCCCCCACCAATATTTAAATGTTCTTAGATAATTGTTCCAAAGAAGTAGATTCTTCAGTGGTGGGAAGGCCTCTGAAAGTTTGGTTAATCTCGGATGGTGGAAGCAGGTACCTGGCAAGTTTTGTGGAATTTGTAGAATCATACCTAACCTTACCTACCAACCTAACTTTCAACCTACCATCCTTCAAACACACCTACATGCCTACAACCTATCATACCAAACTACTTCCTACCAATCTACAAGGTCAACCAACCTACCAAACCACATAGGTACCACTCGGACTTCATCTTCACATCTTACCTGGTGTGATTGAGAGTGGATTATTCTATGCATTTTGAAAATTGCACTGATAGTGTCTCAAAGTTTGGTGGTGAGTAGATGTAACTTCTGTTATGAATAAAACACATGGAACTGATGGATCCTGTGTTGCACTCGACAGTCAAGCAATGCAATGCACAGCACAGGTCACATCTACCACACAATTCACCTAGTACTGATCTGATCTGTTGTCTTTGAAGAACTGAGCATCTAAAAGCAAAAAATGAAAATAAAATGCTGGAATATTCAAGTGCTTCAAATGTGTTAACCAAAATGTATACACAATCCCGCACCACCCACTTTCATATCAATGTTTTCTGAAGTGTGGCACCATCCTGCACATCCTTTCATGCATTTTCATTTTGTCAACTTACTGGAGGTCAATCATGATGAGCTATGACTATTATGAGCTGTCTTAGCCTTTTTCTGAAACCAAAAAGACTTTCAATATAGATGTGCTCTTCAATGTATGCTGTCAAGACCTCAATTGTTTTCTTGCTTTCTGACAGTTAATCACGCTTCTTTTACAGCACACAAGTAAAATAATGGCTTGTGCCATGATTATTTCTAATTCTACATACAAAACTTTAAAGAATCAAGTAAATTAAGCCTAAAACAAGCACAAATAATGCTTGATAGGAGCTGCGCCAGAACTGTAAAAATGCGCAAAATATCCGTATTTTTCGGGCTGCCGGCGTAAAGGGAATTATCCGTTCCGGAACGGATTTTTCCGATAAGGCTCATGTAAACGGGGCCACCGAAACGCATTTTTCCGTTCCCTGGCTAATCGGATATTTCCGTTTAGGCTGAATGACTCATGTAAACGGGGTAAATAGAGTCGGGGCTGGCATCCGGGGGTTCGGCCGGCCGACCGCCTCTGGAGCGGGGGACTTTTTTAGTAGACCTACTGTACAGGTGAGCGGGAGAGGGATGTGGAGCTGAGAGGACACTATGTACAGGTGAGCGGGAGAGGGAGGGTAGAGGGGAGGCCGGGAGGAGAGTCTGTCGACCGTCTGGCACCAAACAACTAATGGAACAAACTAATGGCACCATCGTGATCCTCTCGTCAATGCTCATCGAATCATATATGTGTTGACCTCGAAAGGGCAAGGTCAAAGGTTGACCTCAGGTCAGGTGACCTCAAGGTCACCGTGTATATCATTCGATGCGCCTTGACGAGCTGAACACAATGAGACCATCCGCGCGGCTGTATCTCGTTCCTGTAAGGTGTTATTAGCAAAAAAAAAAAAAACTTTGGTGACCCTTGATGACGTTACATGACCTTGCAGCTGCCCAAGAGCAAAAAAGGCCTCAAGGTAGTCATTATTGATCGTGTATGAAGTCATTCATGGTATATTGGGCCATTCCGACGCGTTTTAGTGACAAAAAACAGGAGGTTGATTTTTTCCCCATTGACTTACAATGGGGAGGTCAAGAAATTCACCCGACTTTAGGTCATCGATATCGAAATTCCGAGTTATAAAAATTGTAGCTGTCAATGATCTCATTACATCCTACGACTTTCAAAGGCCTCCGTCATCTACTGTAGCTCTGACTCGATGACAAAGTTGCAAAGAAGTGATGTGAGGCTGGGTCATTCGAAGTGACCTGGTGACCTGACCTTGAAAGATGTGAGGTTCAAACTTGCACACCATGTGTAAAATTGATAGGGGAAAAGTAATGCCAAATTCCGCGGCGCTACGCGCCGCGACTAGGGGCAGTTAGCCGCCCCCCCCCCCTCGGTGCGCGGGTAAGATCGTTACAAAGCAGGCGAGAGACACTAAGCTGTGCTGCATCCTCTATAAAGGAAAATGAAAGACCAAGTTTTCACGTAATCATGCAACCATGTAATGGCGCGATATTGTAACCAGACCAGACTGAGGGCTGCATTACACATCAGCTACATTCGTTGCACAGTGCACAGTGGCTCGTTATATGTAGGTCGGGTATCCATACATGAATAACGACCAGCGTAAATTCCATCCTACTCTCACTTGGTAATGCATCATTACAATATTTCCCGTTAGTAATGCAATAAAACGTAGCTAAGCTGCTGCCTCTAGCGTGGTAGCGATAGCGATCCGTCCCTTTCGGTGACGGCTGGTAGACTACAGTTTCTACGTCGGTGGCAGACTGCCTCCTTCCTGCCACCGAGCCCTCTTCTCGCAAAGGTAGCGTCCCCTCTCTCTCTCGCCTCCCTCTCGCTTCCCTCTCTCTCTCTCCTCTCTCCCTCCCTCTCTCTTTCTCTCTCTCTCTCTCTCTCTCTCTCTCTCTCTCTCTCTCTCTCTCTCTCTCTCTCTCTCTCTCTCTCTCTCTCTCTCTCTCTTTCTCTCTCCAGTGCTCCCCTGGCCTGCGGGGGAGCCGGTTTGTGACGGCAGCCAGTGCTGGCCGCGCCTCTGTCCGGAGGTGAGTGGGTCAAGTACCCATCACTGGGACGGGGGAGGAGGGGAGGGGCAGTTGTGGACGGCGAGTTTCGGATGCGGCACTGGGCCGGTATGATAGGTTAAGAGGAGAGGAACCGAGTACACAGAGAAGGAAAGGTGTTGTGGTCGTAAGTTTCAGGGCCGAAAAATTGTGGTGACCGTGGATGTCGGTCGCAAACTTGGGCTAGGGGATGAGATGGAAGGCTACTCTCTGGTGAGGATCTAAGTCGATCAGTCCCTCTTTCTTTTCCGGGTGACAGTGTGTCACGGACGGGCCGCCGGGTCGGGGCCGGCCGAACTGAACTGACGGACCGGGTCATCGGTATCGACAGCACCGCGCCCGGCGGCGCAGCCCTTCGGTCCGCGGCGGCCCCGTCTCAGCATGCGATAGGCAAATCAACACTCCTCCCGACCAGAGCGTGTTTGCTGTGGGTCGGTTCGTCTCAGATGTCCCCAGTGATATGGCCGTTGTTATTTTCTAACCAATTTCACCCCCACTTTCCAACACATGCACCCGACTTTTAAATTTCCTCGTCCTGATGAAAGCGAGCCGATGGACCACCCCTCCGGGACGGGTATCGTATCACCTGTGACCGGCTTCGAACTAGGTCCACCTTCCAAACACTCCGTTCCGTGCCCCTCAGAAGTCTGATAGGTGGTCACGCACAGGGCGATAATCATCCGGTCAGTGTGTGAATATGCTCAGACGGCTGGTCACCATGGTACAGATGGAGGGAAGGGGAGGTATCCTGGGATCTGCCCCATAACAGGGTCGGTCTCAGGACAATAACGGATTATCAGATCGGGGCGTGGGTGATCAGAGTCACTCTCAGGCGGTCAGACACGCACGAACTGGTCGCTGGGGCGGTGCGTGTGATCCGCACCGCTCCGATAATCTGAGATCCTTATCTTATGTATTGTTGTGAGGACAGTGATATCTGGTGCTCTGCTTAGAGGTTCTTGCTCCGACACCTTGCGGTGAACCCTTGCGGTAGGTTAGGTCTCAGTGACCTAACCTGCCCTTTTTAACATGACCTGTTTTCCCGGGTGATCTCTGCCGCGGTGACCTGACCTGCCACTATGACCTGACCTGTACGGTAGTCGGTAACCTGACCTGACCTGCCTCGCTGACGTGCCCCTCCCTTCCTTCCACAGGCCATCAACTACCCGACGGTGCCACGCGGTCAGGAGAAGCTGCGTATCGCGCCCACTCCGCACCACACTCCAGAGATGATCTCCGCCTTCGCCGCCGACCTGGTGGCCATCTGGCGCGAGGAGGGTCTGCCGCTGCGTCCGCCGAGCGCCGCCTGCGAGCACGAGTGTCTCTACTGCCACCGCCCGCTGGAGTTTGAGCGCGCCGGGTGCCGGGTGCGCGCAGGGGACGGCTGCCCGGAGCCGCGCTGTCCCCAACTGGCGGCCGCCCAGTAGAGGTGCAGCAGAGACCGGGTGCCGCCAGTGCGGCCGGCGGCGGGCAGGCGACCAGCTGATAGTGAGGTTGTACGGAACAGGGAACAAAATCGGGTACCTGTGAATGTAACTCGTTTCGGTGATACTGTCTGATTTTATGCGATGTTTCGCTGTACTTTTATGAATAATTAATAACGAGTCATTAATTGCACTGCGCTTTTATGATGAATTATGAATTTCTTGAATTATTGATTATGAATTTTATTATGGAATGCCAAAGCTTCAAGTATTTATTTATTCTTGTTCGTTTTCGGTGTCGTTTTTCTGAATGTATGTGTTAGATGTAGCGCCCATCGGTCGATCAAAAACTGCGGTCTGCCCCGCGCTGTACCCCGTCGGCCTGTCGCGGGCGGCGCCCGAACCGACCCCTGCCCGGAACACGACCATGACCACTGGACTGGATGTGAACACCGACAGATCTATCTAGTGACGGGAACTCTATGTTTGATGTAACCTCTAAACTTGCCCGAGGGGCGCCTGAAGAAACAAACAGCTGTGGCAGAGCTGTAGCAGTCAGAAGCGGGGTTGAAGGTTGTGGCAACTGCGTCAACTTTTCCCTGGGTGATACAAATTGTGGTGACAACTAGGTATGCTTGTGATCGAAATATACCTATATGACGCACTACGCACGGTAAAACTGTCTTTTCTTACGCCCGCGTGATATTTTTGCGGCAAATATGCACTAACAGTGCACTTATATCGCTGTTCACGAGAAGTAGCATGTATGCACATTGAAGCAGAGCATTAGGTATAATAGAACACAGTAGTGTCGAGTGTTCTTGACGCACCAAACTGCTACATATGCGGCACATTGGGAATGCATGAGAAAGACGGGGGGAAGTCGCTAGACGGGACGAACGGGAAGTGAGCGCTCTCAACAAGCGGATCTTGGGGGCACGAAAGTGTTTGCTTGTGTCGATACCAGGTGATGTTAAAGGGACACTCCCACCTTAACATTAGTTTTGAGTTGAGATAGCCAAATTGGTGGCCATGGCCTGCAAATACCGGTTTGGGCACTCACAACATCGAAAAATGCTTTAATTCGAAGATATGGAATTTCAAACTTGCAGTTTTCGGATTCTAAGGGGCTAATGCATTGGAATGCCCCCTTAGAATTTGTGACGTCAGCGGAGATCTAACGATTTTTAAATCTTAGACTAAAACCATCGTTAACACGTGGTGGTATACGCTGCTTTGCGCGCAACGTCTGCCGCACTTTAAGGCTGCCAAATTATTGCTTCCAAATAAAGTCGCTAGTAACAGGGGAGATCCCAAAAAGTAAACAAAAGTAAAAGCCTAATATCTTGAAAACCAGTGAATATTTTTCGGTGAAATTTGGTAGATATTCGTTTTCGCTCTTTCTGAACCAAGGGACATCACTTTCATGCCAATTCATTAACTTTTTTGAAGGTGGGAGGGTCCCTTTAAGGAAAGGTTGAAGATAAAAGAAGTAAGTTACTGCACTGGAGTCAGGTTAGCGAAGCAGTGACCGATTTCGGTTGCCCAGAACACGTCCTTAGTTTACCAAGACAACTGGCAGCACACGACATAATATATGTTGGGGTTGAGATGAGGGCGTCAAAAAAAAAACAAAATGAATAGAAGATGATGTAGGTGTTAAATCGGTAATTTACTCATAAAATGTAATGGGGAGGCTCAGGTGGTGATTTTGGGCCGAAGCTGAATGAGCTCTGACGATGTGTTGTGTAGGGCGATTCACGTAGAAAGGCTAAAGTTCAGTGTTTCGCACAAACGATCCGAAGAACTATGTTCGTCCCTGTCTTCAACTCCATCTAGCTGAACGAGAAGAAAGTGCAGGAACTCGGGTGCAGGGTGAGGCCCCACTCCACAGCATTTATTCTAAGGTTCCCAACACCCATCGATTTTGCACTGAGAGATGGAGGTATGGATGGACGGTCATTGTGCCCCGAGACCCGAGCTGCCACTGGCGGCCTGGCCCCTGAGCAGTTTTCGCATCCAGTCATGCAGTCCACGGAGACACGTGCTGGCTTCCTGATGTCAAGCGTGATGTGGTCCGGGACGGTCTCTGTGGCACGTGTACACTGCCGGTCATAAGGTACATACTCATGAAAACTATTTGAAATGGGGCCCAGAGTGAAAACGACTAATGCATATATAACACAGGACATTGGATCAACGCCAATGCGAAAATAAGGTATCGTAGGCCGTAGCTTTAGGCTGACGGATCTCTGCATTTAGGTATTACTCGAGCTCCCATGCGGCAATTGTACATAAGCTTAGTGACGCGGCCGCATCGTAAATTTGACATAAAATTACTTTATCCATTTTCAAACGTTTCGACTTTATTCAAAAGCATCTTCAGTGTTCAGAGAGACAAGTACACAATTACACGATGACATAAATATACAAGCAGTCGATACCTACACGTCAAAACTTCACAAAAACAAGACATAAAATATTATTCGTGTTGAGTCGGTCGTCTTCCTACACTCTACAGGACGATGCTTATAGTTTAAACGCAGATGATCGGTCATTAATAGTCGGTTTCGCTTCAAATAACAATGTGTAAAGATTCTAAAATTCGTAACTTGAAGTTTGAACGTTTTTTATCTATGATTTTGAAATCGTCTATACTGAAGGTCAAGGGGGTGTCACATGCTAAAACATGATCCCGTACAGACGATGCTACTTAGACTGGATAAGAGTTCGCCCGTTCTGTGCAGACCTAGGTACCCCTGTGTTGGTAAACTCTGCTGTGGAGGTAGAACCTATGTCATACTATCAGATTTCTATTGATCCTGAAACCATTACGAGAACATCGTAAATTTATCTCGGTTGTCAGATTTGTACCATGCTTTATCGGCGTGTTAAATAGCGTAATTGGATTCGGGTGGACACAAAATAAGATAAACTTTGGGAGATAAAATATTCATCTATGAGCAATGCAGATCGACTGACATGCAACATGACCTTCTTCGGTCAGGTCACTGTCTTGACCTAAAATTAATTTTTTAATTTTGATCATCGCCCATAGGGATTTTTGTCGATAGCTCCGAACCCGGCGATAGAGAGCTGAAACTTGGCATACCTGACCTTTAGCACATTGAATCGTGACTTTGAAGTACAACATTGAAACGTCATTTTGACGTCACTAGGGACATGATAATTTTTCGCCAATATCTCTTGATCAAATTGAGATAGCAAATCGGCAAAGCCACCTGTGGACTCAACAGTATATGATTCGACGTGCCTGAGCGAATCGAACACGATGCTGCCAAAATCGCGGCACTGCGACCGTTTTTTTTTTGCGAATCATTCATCAGAAACCGAGTCCATACCTTGGGCCACCTGACCTGACCTCATAGGTCGCTGGTTGACCTAACGCCTTAACCCTCGCCGGCACAGGCCATTTTGAGTCCTTCGACGGCACAAAGGGGGGGGGGGGGGGTTGGTACGACCCCCCCTCGCGTTTGGCCCCTGATTGAGCTAGAGCTTCGCGGAAAAAACGAGCGTGTTTCCCGTCACGAGAGGAAGCCGATGATACCCAATTTTAAGGTCCTAGGTCATCGGGTGACCTTCCAGGTCAGGTCAATGACCCGAAAACCGGGAAAATCGGGACCTGTTAGAAAGTCGTAAAGTGTGGCTGCCATGTGGTTTTCCGGGGTGCTGATCACGAATATCGTGTTAGTTTTGATCATAGATGATGTCTTTAAGCATTTAGACCAGGTCGGGTCAGGTCAGGTCAGGTCAACCGGTAGAGGTTGTGACGGGTATTCGTAATACGTGTCAACCGCCTCGGACAGCTTCGTAATATGTTACGAAGGCACCAAAACTACTTCGTAAATGTTCAAATGGTTGCTAAATTCGAATTCAGCTCCAAAAACTAGCCTAGAAACATGTAAAACTCGAAAAAGTGAACCGAGGTCACCCGAGGTCACCAAAGGTCAATGACCTGACCTGACCTTCAGGTGACCTTGACACCCACCCTAATGCATGGGAGCAACATCAAATCACATGTTTGAACGTTTGAAACCACGAAAAGCTTGCAAACGCGCGGCTAATGCGAGCCGACATGCGCCGAACCGCGATTTCGGCCAAACATGGTCACAGAAAAGAGGTCACAGGTCAAAGGTCATTGGGGTCAGGGTCATGAAATTTTCAGGGTAGGTGTAAAATCGATCAATGCGAGGGTACTGAAAGTTTCGTCGCGATCGGCCGCTTTTTACGCGAGTTATTCGCGAAAAACCTTAGGGGGGGTTGCATCAACCCCCCCCCCCCTGTGCCGGCGAGGGTTAAAATCGGGTACCAGCCTCTGCGTCTCGTAACGGTGCACACGCTAGTTTTTTTGCCGTGACGCTCTAGCTCTATCAGGATCGAATCGGAGATGGGGTCGTGCCACCCCCCCCCCCCCACGCCTCGACCAGTGCTTATGTACCAAAAACCAATAGGTCCGGCGAGGGTTAAGTTAAATTTGTATAAGTACCAATTACAACAGATCATTCGACGCATCTGCTTCGACCTTCGACTTGACGTAAACATGGGCAAAGGAATAATTTTTGACGATCTTTCGAATAAGGAATCTTGTTTCGAATGCCCTTTTCGATTTCTTGCGTTGTCCGGGAGCCGATTTAGAGAGGGAATCGTGAACTTCCCGTAAACCTTAATTTCCGTAACACCTGTCTCTTATTGCCCTTCCACCGCTACTCCATCTTCCTTTCATCATTCCTTCCTTCCTGTTTATTTCCTTCTTTTGTTCCACCTCTTACAAACCAACACTGCAGCCACCCCCGCACGCCTCAGCGCAGCACGTTACCTATACACCGTGTATCGCCCCGGCCTTCCCGACACCTTCTGAATGATGACCTCCCGTCTGATGCATGATGGAGCGCGTGCGTGGCCTTCACGCACTCTCGCTTTCTCAGGTGCGTCAGTGGCGGCGGAAGGTAATTCTGGATGGGGGTGCAAAGTTTTCTCAAGGGGCCCCTCTGGAAGTTGTGGGCCCCCCTTCATTTTTTTTTTTTTTTGAGTGATTATTATTGATTTATGAAAAACGAAGATTTTGGAAAACTATCCCCATACACACAAGTTCTGTAAAAGGTTTGAAATTGTAGTGCACCTACCTATCTCAAATAATGAAAGCATAAAGAAGCGAATGCAGCTAGTTTTTTATCGGCTAATATTTTAGTCTAGTCACCACCCGCAGCGTCTCAAACCACTTTTCTGGATCCGCAGTGGACCATTGAGGGCCTTACGAGACATTTCCAAGAAGACCGTGTTTAGAAGCCCCTTGGAAACCGACCACATAGAGACTCCTCCAGACTTTTTTTTATAAATTTAGCTCGAATGTTTGAATGGACGGATTGACAGAGCCGAAGCCCACGCTAAGCAGAGCTTGTTGCGTAGACCCCGACCCCTACCGTCCGATCGCGCAATTCCGGGTAACGGGAGAATTTAGATGCCAAAGTTTAACGTGCCCTTCAAAGCCGGACACGGCCTGTCCCACTCAACTGACTTCAACTGGCTGCGGCTGCTCCCACCAACCGCAGACAATCCCCGTCAGGAGTCTCAAATATCGAGCGCCGGAGAGTCTCGAACCCGAGCTCTCACTACCGGGAGTCCAATGCTCTACCAACTGAGCTACGGGACAGCCTAGATAGGCCTCAGACTTACATGACTTCCCAGACTGAATGAGCCCTCCGATCAGGGTCGGTCCCTTGAAAGTTGCTGAAAGGTTTCAGAAGGCAGTATAGGCTCGAAAGTCTTTTGGGGGCTGTCAGAAACCAGCATCGGACCCCCAAAAAGCCTGTATGGAGGCCCTCCAAAGCCGGGATGGAGGCCACAGGAGCCGATGTTTATCCTAAAGAGCCGGTATGGAGGACTGAATAGAGGAAAGGGGTCTCAGTGGGGCCTTCAGGGGCAAGCGTTTGAGCCCAAAAAGCATGTGTGGGGTCTTAGAGGCAGGTAGACCCCTGGGGTATGCAAGGGGTCCCAGGAGCTCGCGTGTGAGTCCAAATATTCGGCTGGCGGCTACCAGAACTAGCATGGGGATTCTTAGAAGCCGCTTACCTAGATCCACATTTCATGGGTCATGAGTCCCAAGAGTCGATGTAGGGGCCATAAAAGCCGGTGTAGGGCCCATGGCCCAATAAGTTCCGACATTGAGACTCTCAGAGGCCGGCAACGGGGCACCAAGAGCAGATAAAGTGCCTCAACAAGCCGAAATGGGGCCTGAGAATCAGTGTGGAATTCCAGGAGCCTGCGTGAGCTCTCGGAGACCTTCGTACTTCGTAAGGTCCACAAAGGTCGTTGGGTCCTCTGAATCTGAACTCTGCGGGACCCTCAGAGGCCAGCATGTCTCCTGGCACCTGCCTGCGTTGAGTTGAGACCCTCCGAGGCTGTCGTAGGGTTCTTCAGAGGCCAGCGTTGGCCCTTGAAGCCTTCGTTAGGCCCTAGAAGCCGTCAAGAGGGCCCTCAGAGGTCAGCATGGCCCCTGGAGCCTGCCTGCGTCGAGAGTCCGAGACGCTCAGAGGCCGTCGTGGGGCCCTCAGACGCCAGCGTGGGCCTTTGGAGCTTGCGTTGGGTCTTAGAGACCATCATGAGGGCCCAGGAAGGTCGTCGTCAGGGCCCTCAGCCCCTCAGGGACCGTCCTGGGGTCCTCAGAAGTTGTTGTGATGGCCCTTAGAAGCCTTCGGAAGGATCATCAGAGGTCGTCAGGAGGATCCTTGGCCATAGTGAGGGTCTTCATGGGCCCTCAGATACCTTTGCAGGGCTCTCAGAGGCCTTGGTAAGACCGCTAGAGGCCATCGTTAGGGCCCTCAATAGACCGTTGCAGGGCCCTCAGATGCCAGCATAGCCCCTGCAGCCTGGTTGTGTTGGGGCCCCCAAAGGCCGTCGCTGGGCTGTCTGAAGCAAAATGGGCCCTCAGACTTGAGTTGGGTCTAGGGCCGTCACGAGGGCCCTCAGAGACCGTCGTAGAGGCCAGCGGGGCCCCTGGAGTCCTGTGGGACCCTCAGCGGTCGTCATGAGGGCCCTTAGTCGTCGTTATAGGGCCCCAAGGGACATAGGTCGTCATGAGAGCCCTCAGAGATCATCGTAAGGGCCCTCAGAGGCCGTCATAGGGGCCCTCAGAGGCCAGTGTGGCCCCTGGAGTCTCCTTGAGGCCCTGGAGTATCTGTGGGACCCTCAGCGGTCGTCATGAGGGCCCTTAGTGGCCGTTGTAGGGCCTCAGGGGACAGAGGTCGTCGTGGGAGTCCTCAGATATCGTCATAAAAGGGCCCTCTGAGGCCGTCGTGCGGGCCCTCAGATGCCGCATGGAGCACCAAACGCGGCTCGGGACACTTCTAGCCGGTGTGGGGGCCCCAAAGACTAGCATTGGACGCTCCTGACCATAATTGGACATCCCGGATGATTCCACATCAGTGTTCGTTTCCCGATCACTGGTTTTCGGGAGAAAATGTATTGGATGGTGCGACGGGCCCCTTGTACAGATTTTGGGGGTGCAAAAAGATATGTTTGCACCCCCATGTTTTTCGATGGGGTGCAGCTGCACCCCCTGCACCCCCTATTCCGCCGCCACTGAGGTGCGTTTTTGCTGGGTCGCCGGCGGCAGCTCGGACGTACATGACACGAACCTCACGCACGTGGTCTATGTGTGCGCCGAGAAATGGCCGTGTTGGAGGCGGGAGGGACAATGAATGACCTGCAGGAGCAAATGAAACGGATCGTACCGAGCGGTAAAAGCGTCTCGTCTAGTGCGCTTTCTGGTAATTTACGTCTGCACTAATTTACTGAAGCAGCTCGTTAACGATAAGCGTAAAAATACGTCTGAATAAATGGCGGCAAGACTTCCGAACAAAATGAGCGATATACCCTTTACGCATCATAACAGAATAAAGCAAATAAAGCATAACGAGATTTACGCATCAAAACGTACCTAATAGCTGTCCTGATTTTTCATTCTCTTATTAGCTGACCCAAACTTATTTGAAAGAGGAACCAGGTGGCTCCTTGCACGAATGGGAGCAGTCGGACCTTAGACAGGAGGACAACCGACCTCAGCAGTGGCGACTGCCGGGCGGACAGACGAACCCGACCCGTCGACCCGACCCGACCCATCGTCCGTCGGAGGAGGGCGGCTCGGCTCGGCGGCGGCGGCGGTGGCGCTCTCGGCACGGGTGAAAATCTCCAGTGTCCGGTGGCGTCCGGGTGTCGCTCGCAGCGCCTGAGGCCGCCGGCCACCGTAGCCCATTGGCTGCCTTTCTCGATGGCCACCGACCTAAGGGGTACACGGCACGAGGTAACCGGCGCGCTAGCCGGTGGTCAGAGGCGTCCCGGACGGCGGGGGGAGAGGTGGTAGTCGACGAGCCGACGGCGACCGGTGGTGATAGGGACTCGGAGGACCGGCCAGGATACAGAGGAAGGACAGGTGAGGGACTTTGGAGGGGTGCAGAGCAGTGGGAGGGACTGGACCTGTTTGACAGTTGTCTCTCTGATGTGTTTGTTTTGCCTAAATACCGTCAGCCAGGACAGTGTCCGCAGAAAAATACCGAAAGGCGTGAATATGGATTATAACTGGCTGAGCTTGAATCGCTTTAGGTATAGTTCACCAATGCGGCACGTCAGTTAGTGATCAACTCAACGATTCAGTACATGCTTTTGTGAAACGGGTTTAGGCTAACTTTTCGTTAGCCTAAACCCGATTTTCAATTTATTTTAATTTACCCTAACTTTTTGGATAGCATAAATTAAAACTAGTGTATTTTGATAGGAACAGCCCAGATCCGAGTTTATACTAACTTTGGAGCACGTTAGCCTAAACCAGATTTACCCTAACCCGGCCAATTAAACGATTCTGTTAGTTCATATTTTATCCACCAGGGTTTGCTTCATACTCAAAGGCCTTCCTCGTCCAGTAAAAGATCTGGCAGCGATGTGCCACGTCGATTTGGAAGCACGACTGAGATACAATTTCGGCGCAGCTGTTTGCACGCCGGAATATCTTTGAGCGTTATTGTTGTTGTTGCACATGCAGTTTCAAGGATGGTGGCAGTGGTCGCTGTGTGTCTACAACAGGTAAGCTAAATATTGTTCTCCCTGATATATGATAGATCAGGTTAAGTAAACAGCCAGAAGAACTCCACCCACCCATATTGTTGTCACTTGTCTCCTTGTTTTGTTTTGTTTTTCCACCTACCTTCTTGCAAAAATTGCCTGTAGGTAGCTTGTGCCTGCCATGACATGACTAGAGTCCATACCGGTATCCCTTTTTGCTTTATCTTGGCGGCTATATAGTTGTGTGAAGATGGTGGATACTAGGCTCATGTGTTGTTAATGGTTACATCACTTTTCATTTTGAAATGAAGGAGCAGGGCATCCTTATAATTTGAATTGTAAAACTAACCATACTTTGTTGGAAGCTGTTCTGTTAGGTTGTGCATCAGATGGGTAAAGGACGAGGCTCAAATCCAAATATTGATTGACCAATGAAAGGTTAAAGTGGGCAGGGCCATGACCATGTAACGAAAAAATGGACGTGATTTTGTGCATCCTAGCTTTCAAATGAAAAAATAAGACATAAGCAAGTTGTGATTCACACAAGGCCTGTACTCACTCAGCGCACAATTAAGGCGGTCCTAATGAAGTTAGTTGTGACTCAAGGCCAACCGACGTTTGACGGCAATTGCTGATCGAAAGAAACGTGCCAGAAAAAGTGAGTAATTAAGAGATGGTAAATAGTTTTTATTTGTATTAATTTGTTTACAATATTGTCAATTATAGCAAAATTAATTATTATTCAATAGTTACTATTTTGTGTTTATTGTTTTAAAAATAAATTTCTTAACTTGTTTCATAGTGCCGATCCATTTATGGAATGGCCAGCTGATTGTCTGCCAAAGTGGACGCCCAGAACCTGCAAAAAATATCGTCATTTTTGGGTGAATGTACGTACTTTTGTCAAGTATTACTCGTTAACTATCATTCCTTTGGTAAATGGAAGCTTTTTCTCTTCAGTGGGTGTACTCAATACCGCAAGTATTGTCCCGTTACACTGAATGCACCCCGTCATAGCGGGGGCTGCATTTATGCCCATATATTGTCATAGGTACGAGATCCATTTATTGATTGATCAATGTTTTTATTTCTGCCTCATAGTTTCCCCAATTGGCATGCTTCTTGTAAAACACTGATTGGCAGTGCTGCTAGCTGGTGGCAAAGAAAAATGATGAAGCTAACCACACACAAAAAAAATACAGCCAAAATAATGACTGTTTTTAATGCAAAGCATGCTAAAAGACAATCAGGGAATTTTATTTTTATGGAGGTGATCTGGTGTCAGAATCAAACTGTTGATTCCACAAACATTAGTTTGTGTTTTGTTTTTGATAGTTTGGCTATTAACAAAATTGCATAGGCGTAGGAACAGGAGGGGCCAGGTGGGCAAGTGCCCACCTACTTTTTGAGGTGGGGGGCCGGGGGCTACAGGGCCTCCTGTAAGGGATTTTCAATGGAGGGGGGGGGGCAGAGGCTCAAGGAGCCAAACCTAGGGTTCCCTCAAATCCTGTTTTCTCATCGGATTTAGGCCACTTATTTTTAGTCATAGCCCTGCCATGATGATCTTTTCTTAACTAATAAAAATAAAATAGTAGCCTATCTTATCCATGCTTTGATATTTATTTGTCACTCTTTCACATTGCCTGACCAGGTGGTTACAAAAATGAAATACAAAGGAAATACAAACCTCCCAATTTTAGTGCTACTTTGCTCAAAATTTTGCGCTGAACCTGAATCCCCTTTCAGCATTTGGGGCCTGGGGGTAGGTCTGGTCAGGTAAGCTCAGGTCAACCAGTGTCCAGTAGCTAGCCTAGGTGTCATGCCAGGTAGCCAAAGTAGGTGTCAATCACCACTGAAAGGGAGCTTCGTAACATGGGAAGCTTCGTAACATATTTTTTGGCACCAAAACCTCTCCTGAAAATGGATCCTAAATTCGACATCTGCAAAAAGGACACTAATACATATTGAAACTTGAAAAGGTGAAGCAAGGTCATCTTAATCTAAGCTCAGTAACCTTGACCACCTGACCCTAATGCGACCCTGACACCTACCATAAGGCATGGTATTACAATCATCCCACAAGTTGGCGTTTTTTTTAAGACACAAATAGTTTGAAAACGCGTCGATAATGTGCGCTAACACGCAGAATCGCGATTCTGCCATGCCATGGTCTCTAGAAACACGCCATAGGTCAAGGGTCATGGGGTTCGGGGTCATATAATTGTCATGATGTGTGTAATTTTGATTAGCTCGTGAATGCGAAAAGTTTCGCCGCGATCGGCCACCTTTTACGAGTTTTTTTTTAACTGAGGGTCATGGATGGGTCTATCCGACCTCCCAATAAGCGCGACGTTCAATTTCTTTTACTGTGTAACAGATGCTGCTTTTCGATTGCTTTGTGCCCTGATTTACTATGTACCTAAGCACAAACATGCCCTCTCCATTCCTTGTGCCTTGCCCTATCCTGAAGTCGTACACCTTGTTATCCTCCCCTACTATACCCCTAGGGTATGTGGCCTGCCCAGTATCCTGTCCTTACGTCTTGTACCTTGCCCTGCCCTTCCTTCAGGCCCTGTGCCCCGCCCTGTCCTGCCCTCAAATCCGATACCTTATGTACTCTGCCTTGAAGTTGTATGCGCTGTCTTCCCATCTTTACGCCCGTGCCCTGCCCTACCCTAGTTTGAGGCCCTGTGCCCTTCTCTGCCCTCAAGCCTTGTACACTTGTCCTGCCATCAGACCCCGTGCCCTGCCTTGCCCTCAGGTGCTGTGCCCTGTCCTGCCATCAGGTCTTGTGCCTTCCCATGCCCTCATGCCCCGGCCCAGCGTCCTTCCTCAAGCCTGATGCCTTGCCCTGTCTCAGGCCCTGTCCTGTCATGTTTTGCTACCAGGCCCCATGTGCATGCCCTGCCCTCAGACCCTGTCCTATTCTGTCATTAAGCCTTGTGCATTGTCTTGCCCTCAGACCCCGCCCTCGCACTAAGCTGCTGTGCTCTGCCCTGTCATCAGGCCTTGTGCTGTCCCATGCCATCAGCCCTGTGTCCTACTCTGCCCTCAAGCCTTGCACACTGCATTTCCCTAAGGTCTCGTGTCCCACTGCTCTCAGTTTTGGGTCACCGTTGGATATCGAGTGCGCTGCTCATCATATACCGATGACGATGCCGTATTGTGGTGTCAAGCCAGCTAGAACCTCTATGTCACACTATCCGACCAGGTTTTTGCTGGTGAGGTCATCTCAGGTCAAGTTAGTTCAAGGTAAATGATATGTGTTTGTATGTCTGTGTGTGTCTGTGTGTATACTGATGTGTGCACCGATTGTTTATGTGTCCATATTACATGAGATCAAGAAATGAGAAACTTTTACTAAAAATACAGTCAAAGAAACTTCACAAAAAGTAAATTCCGCTTGCCTAAAGCGCAATGTTTCCAGATGACCTAGGTTGACCTTGACCCTAACCTTGACATCTGTATATCGTCAAACAACATGTTCACTGATAGGGGAGGTAAGACTGGGAAAAAAGGCCGAAATCAAGGTGTCAAAAGCTCACAAGACCCATGGCCAACGCAAGATATTGGGTATTTGTCATTAGGGTCATGACATGACCTGATGAACAAGGTCATATCTCCGAAACCCAAAACCACAGACTTGACATTTTCAGTGGACATCGAGAAAGGATAGAGGAGCAGCTATACGAAAAATCAGGCATCTAGCTCTAAAAATGTTGAGTGCAGAGCAGAAAAAAACTACCAGGGGGTGGCAACCACCACCCCCCCCCCCATGTGCGGGCGAGGGTTAATGATCTGAGAGGCCCTTCTATCTGTACTTGCCAAAGGAGGCCCCTGAGACTGATGGTGGCCAGAAGAGGCCTTCGAGACTGATGGTCTGAGAGGACCTTCTATTCAAACTATGCAGAGGAGGTCCCTGAGAATAAAAGTCCTAAGACCCCTGCGGCGGCAACTGGCCGTTAAAAAAGAAAAAAAAATATGGCCATATTTCGGCTCGGTAGGGCCCCACAGAGCTCGTGAGAGCACCTCGAGGGCTCCTAAGTAGACACGCTAATCCCCATAAGGGTGCCACACCAGCTTCTGAAGGCTCCTTGTAGGCACCTAAGGGCCCCTTCCGGCCTCTAACGGCTCCACCCGCCTGTAATGGCTCCACACCAGTGTTTATGAGCGCCACACACCGGCGCCTTTGAAGGTCATACCTACCAGTGTCTCTTAAAGGAAATAGTTCACTTTTCACATGTTTTTTTTTAAACTGGAATAGCAGTTTTGTACTTTGTAGCTTGAGCTGAGACTAGCACAAAGATGATTGGCTCTTTGTGCCTTTTACGGCTCAACAATCACCCTAGACGAAGATATTCCATTTCTCATTCC